CGATACTAACAACACAAACTCAGTGCACATGCTATTCAACGATGAAGCCTACATGTACAAGGAGATGCACCACAGTGATGAAAACAAACATTCAAGCATAGCTGACCAGCGACTTTAACCACGATCTATTTTTAACCATGATCTATTTTTAACCAGACAACTCCGCATGGAGACGCACGCAACATACAAGGAGATCCTTCATAGAACGAGAGAAAGGCGTTTACGTATTGGATTCGTAACAAGCATGCAACACATAAAGGCATCCTTCACAGGGCAAGAGGGAGGCGTATACGTATTGGAATTTGCAACACGCAGGCCATACCCCTTGGCAATGTGTTCCAGCCATCGGCCTAGGCACACAAACGTAAACAACATGATGGACGTCTCAAAGAAATTGGCGGGTGCGTTATCCGCGTCGGTACATATGGCCACGGTGGTGACCAGAAAGGAGTATACGTACGCACAGGACGAGCCCAGCGATACTAGCAGGTCCATGTTAGCACTGTGGTGGAGAGAGTGTATGAACAGGTGAGAGAGTGTATATGAATAGATGAGAGAGTGTGTATGAATAGATGAGAGAGTGTATATGAATAGATGAGAGAGTGTATATGAATAGATGAGAGAGTGTATAAGAATAGATAGTGAGAAGGGTATGTTCGAGTGAAGGATGGCCATCGATTCTGTACTACGTAATATACGTGTAGATGCGTGGTGGGCACCTTTGGATAGTCCGATGAGAAGTACATAGGACTATTTTGCGAGAGGGATATGCATGAGTGAAGCATTGCGACTGATTCGGTACTACACAGTATATGGGTGGATGCGTGTATGCATTTGTGTAGGGTAATCGGGATAGTCTGTATCAGCATGTGTACATACGTAGGTAGAGAGAAGCACAACTATATGTATGTGGCGAGTAGAGCATGTACTCGTGTTCCTGCAGTCTGCATAATACAGCATGTGTATACACAGTAAACCGTTGGTCTGGTCGTCTGCATAATACAGCATGTGTGTGCATAGTAAACCATTGGCATAGTCTCGTGTAGCATAGCAACTCAATGTGTGGTGGAGGACACTTCAATGCATTCGGTGAACAGCGTGTGTACATGGAGCCCTTGTCTGTAGGTAGGTTCTGCATTAGGTAGTATATTAAGCGTGTGTACATGGAGCCCATATGTGTAGGTAGATTCTGCATTAGGTAGTATATTAAGCGTGTGTACATGAAGTCCTTATCTGTAGGTAGGTTCTGCATTAGGTGGTATATTAAGCGTGTGTACATGGAGCCCTTATCTGTAGGTAGGTTCTGCAATAGGTAGTATATTAAGCGTGTGTACATGAAGCTCATATCTGTAGGTAGGTTCTGCATTAGGTAGTATATTAAGCGTGTGTACATGGAGCCCTTATGTGTAGGTAGGCTCTACATTAGGTAGTATA